TGTGAAATGGAACTTGCAGCGGATTTGCTTCTTGCTTTTGTCACCTCTGTTGTCCGCTGACTCACTCCTCGTCTTCTTCTTGGGCTTTGGCTTGGTCTTCGCATGACTCTTCGCTTTGCTTTGAGGTAGTACAGGTGTTGCTTTATCCGGCTTGGTCGGCGAAGCCTTGACCTTTGCGGATGGAGCTGCGTTAGGCGTAGGTTTCTCGGGTACCTTGGCCGGTGCAGCAAGCAAATCCTTGCCCTCAAGCATCTGGCGCAAGCCAATTTGGGTCTGAGTGAGATTTGACTGTTCTCGTCTCCGCATGATAGTACGGTCAATGATCTTCATCAGGTTGTCGTACGATCGGTCTTCATGATTGTAGGGCAAGTGTTCGTAATGCATGCCCAACTCCATCTTCATTGCGGGCGAGTCCTTGATCTTGCTGTACAAGCAATCACGGAGAGCTGTTTTGGATGGAATGTCCTCTGGTCTCATCCGTCCCAGAACTTCCAACCACGTCTGCTTGAACGTATGAAGCTTGTTGTCGCCTTGGTACTGGAGCTTCACCAAATACTCAAGAGTGATGATCATGTCAAGACGATCATGCGTTCGAAAACTTTCATACATCATCGCAATGACTTGTCGTCCTTTGATGATCTTCACGTCAGGCCTGCTGATGTAATCGTTAGCCTTCCGGTTCACCTCAAGGTACAGGTCAGCTGATTTGTCACCACCGGCACGTAGCATTGCGACCATGGCGATCCCCAATTTGACGTCTATGCTCTTGAACTTCTTGTGTCCTGAATCATTCAATGCTTCGACATCAGGGAATGGGTTGAACGCTGGTGCCAGCCATAACATCCAGTCCTCATGATGTGGGTCGGCTGATGCCCCTAAGACATTGGCCGTGCACACGGATCGCCAGTTGTTGAGATGAGTGAGAGTAGGCCATGGAGGAACGGTCACTTTGTCGGCTTCCCTCCTGGAAATTCTCACCTCTGTGACTTCAGGATCCGCATCTCCATCAGGATCACGTGCATGCGAGCCAGGATCCGATTCAGGCTTGCCCCCACCGCTTTTCTTCTTATCATCATCATCGTCAGGCGGGTCAGGAGGGTCATACCCCGTGCCGGTTCCTTCATCGTGCTCTCCATCTTCGTTCTCGTCGCCACCCTCGTCACCGTCACCGTCTCCATTATCCTCCTGAATCGTTTCAGCGAATAACTTCCATTCATCACGATCAGCTCTGAGACGTTGTTCGGCTTTCTGGGCCTTGAGTACTTCGCTTCGCAGATCGGCAATCTTCTCCTCGTACCGTTCCGCGACCTCTTTCTCGATCTGACGTCTTCTTGCTTCATGAATGGAATCGTCATAGGCAATAGGGGGACCGATGAGGTCGTTGCCCTTCGTAGATGCGGTAACACCGTCGATACCAACAGGTCTTGAGGAGCTGGCCGATGCTGTGGACTTCGATCCCAACATCCCGCGATCCCCCAAGAGTTCGCGTAGCTGTCGATCACGCACGGCTGCCGCATCACTTTTCCCATGAAATCCGCTTGGTATGCCGAACAAAGTGGCTGCACTAGGCGTGGAACGCGCAAGTGCTGGGCTGCTAATACCTGGCACGTAGTGCTCGGGCATTGCATCCGCCACGATTGGCATTGAACTGCGGCCAGTGAAGAAGTTTCCACCGGTGAATGGAATTCCATCCATCACAAGGTTCTTGTCCTTGTCCGATTCCGAGAATGCGAACTTCTCTTTGGCGACTGGACTAACTTGACTTGGGGACCGTATTTCAGGGGATCGTACCTCATCTCCTACGGAAAATGCAGGCATTACTTCCTTTCCTACGTGCTCCCAGCCAGACTCAGTAGTCCTCGAAGACATGGGCATGCTCGAAGGTCGTGTCGCTCCTCCGTGATTGGAGTTTCGCGCTGCCTCCAATTCGCTGCGTGTCCTCGCTTGAAGATCTTCTTGTGCTTTGAGCGTTTTCCTGAGTTCACTCAACTCGTCGTGCAAGGTAGGCAATGATCGCCTTGCATGATCTTCATTCTGATGAAGTCGGTCCTCTGCTTCTTGCATCCTCTTCACAGCCATTTTGCGGTACTCTTCCTCTTCACCAAGACGTTCGCGAAGCCGAAATCGTTCTTGTTCAATGGCTGCGCTGTTTCCAGCTAGCCCTTGGATCTCGTTCACAGCCCGCAACTCCTGGTTCTTGACCAAGTGGAATCGTTCCTGCATTGCTTGTAAGGCTTGTTCCGAACTTGCTGTGTTTGACCGGAGGACCAAGTTCTCTCTGGCGTGTTCATGAAGTTCATGAGTCAGACGCTCATACTCACGTGCCATAAGCTCACCATCGCCTTGCGCTCTTGCCTCCAACTGCACAAAGTTGGTGGCTGCCTCCGTGCGGAACACGTGTAGCTGTTGAGCTAACTCCTCGGCAACGGCATGTGCTTGACGTTGTTGAGCAGAGTTCTGTTCATCCATGCGAAACAAAGCTGTTTCATAGTCTCGCTTCATCTCCTGATTGACATTGTTGATGTGCCTCATGGCTAAGCATGCATGGTCACGTTGTCGTTCCAATTCTTCAATGCGAATTCCAGATCCTTCATCTTCTTGTTGCATCTCCTTGATCTTGTCCATCAGGGTTTGGACGATTCCTTCGTATTCTTGCACCTGACTGCGATAGTACATCTGCTGTGCAAGGTTCGATGCTTCGAACTGTTGCGAAATCGTCAATTCCTGATAGGCATTCGGACCATCAGCTATGGCAGGCGTGGCCACGGATGACGCGTCACCACGTGCAGGAATCGTATCCAGAGTCATATCCAGATCGTCAGCATCGCGTGGTTGATTGGTAACCATCCGATTCCAAGTCATGGACTTGTCACGCCCACGAGTAGCCGAAGTCCTCGACCGTGCTGAAGAGCTTCTCGAAGATGATGGTCTTGACTTCTTTTCCAAGGTCTTGACTCCTTTGTCCTTGGCCCTGGACGTAGTCCGAGGTGCCTGAAAACCAGACGCTTCGGCCCGTCGTTCTGAAGCCTTGCCCGTCCTCGAACCTGTGGATGTCGGACGCGAAGGCGTAGATGCTCTTGGTAGACTCTTTGCTTTCCCCTTGGGAACTGCCTTTGCAATGGCAAGCGCAGAAGATTGACCTTTGTCATCTTCCGTGGAGCTATCAACGGATTGCACCACTGTGTCGTCAGCTGTTGACTCACCAACGGCTGGCGCTGCCACATCGGCACCGAAAGTCATTGTCGTATCTTGGCTTGATCCTGAGTTCATTGTGGTCGTAGTAGATCAAGTAGTCGTTGCTGTAGAAAGGCAGAGCCGCGTACGGCTGATAACCTGCGTGGGGGATTGATCTCGACTTGGTTGCTGCTCTCCCCACCAGAGCTGTAATGAATGTAGGTGTGGCTGGCTAGCACTCTCCACAGACTGGACCCTGTCTCTCCCTCTTACTTCCACACGTGCGATCCTATGCAGGCAGAACCGGCGGCCGTTCCTTTTGCACTCACTGCCGGCGGCGGTTCGTCTGTGCAACGGGATAGCTCTGATTGCTCAGGATAGAAGACACATATAGCACTTAGCTATGGGCATTGACTTGAGCCAAACGTTGCGTTGGCGGTCACATAGAAAGGTAAAGATGAGGGATGCGTAGCATGCCCCCTAGAGTCGAGGGACGCGTAGCGTGCCCCCTTCTCTTGCACTTTACACGGTCTTGCTCACAGCTCTTATAGTGACACCTTAGAACTTGACAAGGCATCGCAGTCCGTTCGCATGAAGATCCCCCCGATTTTTGTAAATTGCAAACTCTCCGCGCCTTTGAAGCCGCTAAACCGTAAATCTCAACTCCAAACCCAAACTGTTGATGCACAGAAGTTGGTTGTGAGCTGAAAGCCCTTGTGTAACGGATAGGTGCGATGTATAGTCTGTGACTGGAGCTCAGAGATGCACCTGGCCTGTCTTTGTGCTTAAAGGGAGGGCTGCGGTATGCCCCTTGGGTCGACAGTTGTAAGCCTGAAGTGCACTTTGTACAATATAGCTTGCCAGGCGAACAACAGAAGCAGTGAGTGCAGGTCGTGAAACGTGCTAAATTCGAGTGTGCCTGCCATGGACCCCGGGTCAGACCCGGATTATGGAGCTGCCCTTCCTGACGTAAGCCCAGCTGTACCGCATCAACATGGGTATGAGCCCAAGTCACGCAGACGCAACTGCCGCTAATGATGCACAAGAACATGCTGGAGACACCACAATGGTGGCTGGTGGTCAGCAAGCAGTACAGGCACAAGAGACGGGCATCGCTGTGAGGGCTATGGCTGTGGCGGTGGCTACAGGCCAGAGTCCAGGTGGTGCTGGTTGGCCGATGGAAGGTCGACAGGGCTCTGTGGAAGAGTCACGACGGGTGCCTATGGAAGCAGCAGGAATGCCGTATGGTCAGATGAATGCTGCTCAGGCTTCGTGGAGTATGATGGCGACCAGGAGGACGGCTCCGGCGTGGATTCAGAGGCTGGGGGCTTTCTTTCAAGACATAAGGTGAACATAAGGCTCAACGACCGGCTTCGATGTGGAATCCTTCGCCGTTGGGATCGCCTCCGAGCGGAGGTCGAGCCATGGGCTCGCCAGAGTCGGAGCAGGGAGCCTGGATGGGACAAGCTCATGGTGAACGACCTTGGCTTACTCGTGGTCAAAAGGAGCAGCTCCAGATGATGGAGCAGCGAGCTCCGCTGCTGTATGGACACCACCAAAGAGGTTATGAAGGAAGCTCGGGTGGAAGTGGCGGCAGTACCTATGAAGCAGTACAAGACGAGGTCAGGAGGCAACTGCGCGGTGTGGTGGAGCAGCTGGAGGCCTCGCGACAGGAAGCCGGGGAGCTCAGGCGTGAGATGGAGCGCCTGCAGGGGGCCAGAGGACTGGAGGATCAAAGGCCTGAGCAATGGGCTCAACCGCAAGGACCGCCACAGGCTTTGGGAGGTTACCTTGCAGCAAAGGCTTTTCCAACGGCAGAGAAACAGGAGGCACCAACTACGCCAAGGGCATCGGGCTTATTGGCAAGGACTTCTGTGTCATCGGGTACCCCAACGTTTGCAGGAGCTTCTACCAGCGGGGGCTCGGGCTTGCAGTCGGGAACTACCACAACAAGTGTGCCGGCATTGCCTACAGGATCTTCTATGGCAGGGGGATCGGGCTTGCAATCGGGGACTACGACAACGGCTACTCCGTATGTACCTACGGGATCTTCTATGTCGGGGGGACCGGGCTTACAAGCAGTGAGCAATGCGACCTCAGCGCCGACGACCTATGCAGGTACTGTACCAGTGGGTCTCAATGCAACACCACCGAGCTCCTCCGACCCAGTGTCCCGTCTTCTGGAAGGTTTGGAGAAGATGATCAAGGGTGGAGGAAAGCCAGAGGAGTTGAGCAAGGTGGTGGAAGGACCAAAGTTGCCAGAGATGTCAGATAGCTCTTCGGTGAACTTTGGAGATTGGTTGTACTGCTTGGAGCACACAATGGGAGATACTTCGGCCAGCAGCGCAGAATGGTGGAAGCTGGTTGTGAAGGACGCTCAGGAGTACTACGACAAGTACCAGGCCGCAGACCAGTATGGAAGGCTGTCAATGAAGCCTACACCGTCAGCCGGGTTGGAGGATTCCAAATGGACCCGAGTGGATAGAAGAGGAGCTTCAGTCCTCTTGGGAGCGGTGCCGGAATATGTCAAGAAGGAGCTGATCGCTTCGAGGGCAAAGAGTACCCTGGACGTGCTGGCTCGTTTGATGGTGCTGTACAGGCCGGGAAGTGCGATGGAAAAGGGACAGCTCTTGAAGAGGATTGAGACTCCGGAGCCTTGCACTACAACCCAGGATGCTGTGGAAGGTTTGAGGCAGTGGCTGAGGTACTACCAGAGGGCCAAGGACCTGAAACTCAGCATTCCGGATCCTTCCATTTTGGTGAAGGCCCTAGATGGGATGCTGAAGAAGCCGGTGGCTGACCATCCGGACGTTGGGTTTCGCATGAACCTTTTGCGGTACCACTTGAAGGTGGACTTCCTGCCTTCGGAGGACAACGTTTTGGCGATCCACCGTGCGTTCCTGGCTGAGTTTGAGCAGATGGGTTACAAGAAGAAGGGCACGGAACGGACCCTGCTACAGCCCCTCGCTTACTGGCAATGGAGAAAGACCAACCTCAGTTGCCGACGTCGCCAACGAAGGATGGCAAGAGTGGGCCAAAACCATGCCGTTTCTACTTGTCGGATGAGGGCTGTAGGCGTGGAAAGAGTTGCCGCTTTGAGCACACCATGAAGGACCTCTCAAAGGCTGAACGGCGGGACAGGTGCTATGAGTGTGGAGCAAAGGGACACTTGTCAACTTCATGTCCTACCCGAAAAGAACCTCAGCAGAAGGCCCTTGGAGTCGGGGATTCGCCCCAGTCATCTACGGGGGGAACCAGTGGAAGGCGTGGAGGAGGCAGCCCCAAGGAGGAAATGAGGATGCCGAGCCGGTGAGTACGGTGCCAACAGAGGTCGTGGCAACAACCGCGCCAACCAGTGAAACCCCAGTTCAAGGGGTCCCGGTGGAGCAGCTTCTTGAGGACGCCCAAAGGCTGATGAAGGCCTTTATGGAGCAGAAGAGTGGGCCCCAGGTGAAGGTTTTCAGGGTCGAAGTTCGAAGACGTGAAGGTGTCTGAGTTGCAAGAGACGCCGGCCTTGAAGGAGCTTATGAAGACCGAGGGAGACTTCACCTCTATATGCCGTATGGGATTGCTGGACTCTGGTGCGACCCACCCACTTCGTCCGAGGACTGAAAAGGATGTGGTGAGTGAGATGGGCAAGGTCAGTGTGACTTTGGCAGGAGAGAACAAAGTGGAGATGCAGCAGTCCAGAGCAGGCACAATCCTGGGCTCTGAAAGCACTCAGGCCATAGTGCCACTTGGCACTGTGGTGAAGCAGCTGGGCTATGACTATGACTATGAGTTTGGGTGGAACCGCCGCGGGTGTTTCCTGCGCCATCCCGACAAGGGTGAGATCCGTGTGTATACCAGGTCAGCGTGTCCAGAGATCATGCAGACAGATGCGCTGCGACTCATTGGTGAGTGTTGGAGGAGGCAAGGCTTGCAGAGACCTTGGCAACGCTCAAGGCGGCGGTAGCCGCTGCAAAGGGCCACACGCAGTGGACATGGACGGATGCTATCAGGGAGTATGTGACCACAGGGGAACGTGAAGCCGGAGTTCGGGCTGTGCTGGCTGCGCCTTTCATGCACCATGTGCCAATGGAGGACCAGCTGAAGATCATGGCGGCCATCCCAAGCTCGAGTGAGGAGGCGTAGAGATGGATGAAATCGTTCCCGCTCAACCGAGCAAAGAGGACGCAGCTGTGGCAGGCCCCAGAGTGGGTCGTTCATCTGTTCTCAGGAAATTGGGGTGAAGAATGATCCCCTGCGCGATATTCAAGGAATCCTAGAGATTGACCTACAGAAGGGTTGGAACCTCAACGATGACAAGATCTATGGCGTGTTGCTGTGGGCGGCGTTGAACAAGAAAATAAAGCACGCGGTGGGAGGACCGCCAGGTGGAACCTTTTCGCCGTACCGGTACCGCGAAGGAGCAGAAGGTCCGAAGCCAGTGCGCTCTAACCATGAGCCACGGGGTCTACGTGAAGGCCTGGGCGTTGATGAGTCTGCGAAGGTGAAGAATGAGAACCGCATGTTGCTACGCATGGTGTGGTTGTGGGCCTCCTGAGCCTGATGTACCCGGTCACAAGGTGGGATTTTGCTTGGAGTTCCCGGAAGACCCAAGAGAGTACCTACCGGATGGCTCTCAAAAATCCCAGTGTGTCTCTATGTGGAGGATGGAGTTCATCAAGGAGTTCATTCATGCTGCTACCCACTTCGAGAAGGCGCAGTTTGAGCAGGGAGCCCTGGGACACATGTTGCGGAGACCTACAGGTTGTTTGACGAACCTGCGTTTGGGAATCCATGGTCTGAGGGATTCAAGAGCATGGGTTAGTGCAGAGTGTGCTGATCCAGATCAGTCAGTTTGGCCTCATGGTTTCAGACTCACCTTGGCAGATGCAGTACATGAGTGGAATGCTGCGGGCGGGGGAGTCGCGCTGAAGAAGGCCATGACAAAGACTGAGTTGGAAGAGTGGAAGGCCCATCTAGATCGAGGACATTGGCCTTACCGCAGAGATTGCTCTGTATGTTTGGCGGCATCGGGAACGGGAAGACCTGCAAGACGAGTGGTTCATCGAGACGCATATGTGCTGAGCCTGGACATCGTGGGTCCCTTCGCTGATGTGGGCAGAGATGAAGTTCGGGGGTGTCGTTACCGTTTTGCGTTGGCGGCTACCTACCTGTACCCCAAGATCAGGGAAGTACCAGAGGATGCGCCGATCCCAGATGAGGAAGAGGCTGAGAAGTTCCTAGCAGAGGAGGAGGATCAGCCAGAAGATGGAGAGCAGGGTCCTGAAGACCCCGGCGCAGACGAACAGGAGGAGGAATGGAAAAAGAAGGTGGAGGATCTGAGGCGGCCGATGGAAATGCAGGCACTTCGCTTTGTTTGGGAGGACCAAGTGGGGAAGACCATTTGGTGGCGAAGACTGCTTGGATTGTCATCGTCATTTTTGGGCCTCAGCCTCGTGGTTAGAGAATGTCATTTCGCACCATGTGAAAAACAATTTTGGGCCCTGCAAAAACAAATGATCGTTTCATTGCTGTTCTTTGGATATCTTGCTGCTTATGGGGCTGGCCATGCTTAACATATTCTGACTCTTTTTGGGTATTGAATCAATTTGCGAACTTGTCCGCTGAGACAGAGTGGTACGGTTGTCCTGGGGGTTCGAATGCATGTAGGATGGGCTCGGAAAACGGCTCTACCAACCCCCCTTTGTTCTGGCCGCAAAAAAAATCGAGGTGTAAACTATGCAGGTGCCGGCAAGCTTGGTTGGCCAGTTTGACGTCCAGGGCTGAAAATGAGGCATGAACATGAAGGGACTGGGGCTCGAGTTACGGGAGTCGGGCATAATGTCGACGGTTGTGGGCTTTCTGTTCATGCCCAATTGCACGAGACCAAGTCTTGAAAGGGAAATGAATAAAAATGCAAAGGAAACGATTCGGAAATGCATAGGAAACGATTGCCAGTGGAAAACAAATTCCAGACACCCGTGAAAAGTAGGACGAATAACAAAAAAACTGTGCGAAATAATCAATGAAACTATGGAACAATAGATTCAACCATATGCAAACAGGACAGAACCTAAAATAAATTTCTGAACAGAAACAAAACATACCAAAAAAAGAACACAGCCAAAAGCAAACGCAGCAGTACTAACAGCACGAGCCCAATTATTATAGTGTTGTGTTCCACCGTAATCGTTTGTTTCTTGTATTTGTGTTCTTATTCATCCTGATTTGTAGAAGCGCTTTTCACACATTTTGCTTTTTTGTTCAGGATGCAGCAATGTCTGCTGCTGCAATTTCGGTTTTGGTTCTCTCGGTATATAACTCTAGCATTTGCAAATATATGTTGATCGGACATATATGTTTCAAGTGCTGCTCACACATTTGGGGTTTAAGTTCAGTGGGCTCGAAGCCCCCGCATACGTTTAAAGTAAAGCTTAGCGGGTTTAGGCTTCGATCGTCCAGTTCGAGAGTTTCCAACGCCACGCAAGTCACCACTACCACGGCTCAAGACGGAAGCTGCTGAACACGATGCTTACATTTACAATGACTCCCGCAGCAACCGAAGGTCTGGAGCCGGTGACTTCTGCAAAAAGTCAGAAGAGCAACTAAGTAATAGTGCCGCAAAAGTGGCCTGAAAACATGTGCACCTCTTTGCAGCAAACAACTGGGAAATCGTGCTACTGGAGGCAGACGACCTCACGGCAGTATCAAAGACCTTTGTGGTTGGCGTGACCACGGTGATCTTCTGCCCCGCCTGCACAGCAAATCGGTGGCCGCACACATTGTAGGCCAAGACAAGGAGGACACAAAACCATTCAACCACCAGGCCCTAGTGTACAACGGTGGATGCCCGTTTGGGCAGCCGTATAAAGTAGACTCCACGCTGATGTGTGCCATCAGCCGCAATCCTCTGCACACGCCTTGCGGGCGTGTCCGCTGCCAGCTCCCCAACGGTGATCGGAGCAGAAGATTGGACTGGGGGTATCGAATGGCTGTTATCAACAGATAAAGATCTGCCAATAACCGTGTAAAGGCGACCAGGGCCAGATTCAGGCACACCCATTGATGGGCTCTAGGCCTTCAGCCTGCAAAGCAGTATGGGCCGAAGCAAGTATTCTCCGACTGCCGACAAGCGATTGAGATAGCACAAGAGCGTCTCACTGTAAGACGTGGACTGGTGGATAAAGTCCACTGCGATGGCTGCGGGGGTCAGACAGCCGGAGTTCTGCGGTCTTTGGCCGGAGTGCCATCCGCAGGGTCGGACTGAGCAAATCCGTCCGTCAGTATTGCAGAGGGAAGGCCCGTGGTTGCCACAGGCGGGAGAAAGGCTTCATGCGTGTTCGCCTGCAGTCGGGAATCGGAACACAGCCGGGTAAAGACAAAGCGCTGGAGCCGCTCCAGCATCCGATTGACGCTGTCCGAAGTGATAGCGCAGAGAAGGCATTGGCCAAAAATGCCCTTTCGAAGCCATCAAAGCCAACGAGGTAATGTCCAAGGTTCGCAGCATGCTCACCGAAGCCGGTGTGCAGTTGATGAGCGACGCTCGGCTAGTAAATCTCTTGGGGGTCACGGATTGCACGATGGCGAAGCTCGTCTTGGGTCTGAGCCCTGAGGACGACAAGAAGTACAAGGCTGTGGAAGCAGTGGCCCATGATTGCAACAGCAGGAGTCTTCGGGGTTCCAGGGGTCCAGGAAAGACTTCGGGCGGGAGCTGAATCCAGACGGCAGCCCAAGCAATGTCACCGCAAAGATCTGAAGTCCGGTGGAGTCTTGAAGGTGCCGGCAAGAGATTTGCTGAATTCGAGATGGTGGTTTTCAAAGCCGAAAGCGAAGCCCGAGTCCATTGCTACTTGCAGTCCATGGGGCCCAAGAAGAACAACGATTTCTTGGCCGGCTGCAGCTGGCTTTGTCTCCAAAGGTGCTGTTGCCCCAGAAGACCGAGCGCTTGCCAGCATCTTTGCAACAGAATGGACCACCGGCATCTTCTTCACCTGGATGTTCACTTCCTTTCCATTGACAATTTTCTTGACAAAGACGGGCTGGCTGGGCTGGACTGATGGCTTCTGTTTCTTGTTGAGGCCTGCATTGTTGACCATGGGCGTTTCTTTAAGCGCCAAAGGCTTGTCCTGCCCCCTCTTACTGTCATCCTTGGCCTTCTTCTTCTCAGTCTTGACTTTCTTTGACTAGAGTTCAAACTCCAGGTTCAACCTGGGTTCGAGAAGTTCGAACCCAGGGTTCAACCCTGAGTTCCGAACATTGAGTTTCCGAACCCAGAGTTTCGAACATGGAGTTTCGGAACCCAGAGTTAACTCTGTTTCATTGCTTCTTGTTCTCTCATTTTATTTTTTTTTGCAAAAACCCGATTAGCGATTTCGTGTGTCTTCTCTTTTGCTTGTGCTTAAGGGTTGAGTTTGTGGTTTCTCATTGCAGTGTGCTCTCAGTAATTTTATTCGCAAAACCCCCCACAAAGCGATTCTCTGTGGCTTCTTTTCCTTTTGTTTGGTGATTGTTGGTGTTCTGTAACCCCGTTCGAACTCTGGGGGGGAGTCTAGAACCTGGAGTTGGGCGGTTCATTTGTTCGCGCCTTTAGCATTCTCGTAGGAGACTTCATGTCCTTCTGAAACCTGGGGACTCAACTCTTGAGGACCGCCAGAGTTCGAACTCTGGGTTCGGAAACTCTATGTTCAAACCCTGGGTTCAAAGTCTTCGCCTTTCAGAGTTCAACTCCAGGTTCAACTCCAGTTCAAGAAGTTCGGAGTTGAGTTCAACTTGGAGAACTCAAAGTTCGAACCCAGGGTTCGGAGGGAACTTCGATGTTCGAACCCTGGGTTCGAGGCTCCGAACTCTTAGTTCGGAGTTCCAGAACCCTGGGTTCGGAACTCTAAGTTCCAAACCTTGGGTTCGAACACCCCCCCAAAAACCTATGTTGGTTCTCGGCCTCGTGGATCTTCTCGGTCGTCTCTTGGAGCTCCTGCAGCTGCAGGCTGAGGGATTGCTCATGTTGGCCATACAGCTGGAAGGTTTGCACGAGGAGCCTGAAGCCCGAGCCCATGGCGAATACAGCTTCCATGAACTTGACTATCGAGCAGAAGATGGTGCTGCATGTGAATGGCAACCTTGGATCGAGCAAAAATCTGTCGACGGTGAGACCTACATGCTTCTCAAGAAGTGGGATCGTGCCCTTGTCAAAAAAAACACTGACAGGGAAATCCTTAGACTTGCGGCCAGGCAAGCCAGTAGATCGTTGAACATTGACATCTGGGACGAAATGATCCGTGCGAGACAGGAAAAGGCAAACCAGTTGTTGCAGGAGGCATTGAACACGGAGAAGGATGCTCCGACGGAGAACAAGAGGAAGTCCAAGAAGCCGCAAGTGGTCAAAGCCCTATCGAAACATGCACTGGTGTTGCCGCTGAAATTCACCATCTCGGTCCAGGGGCACGAGTTCCAGGTGCTGTTCGACGGAATCGGAACAAAGTCGGTGAGAAGTCGCAGGAGAAGTCGGATGATGACAACGATGAGAAGAACGAGAAAAGCAGCTCCGAGAACTAATGAGATTCGGCCGGGTTTGCCACAGCACATCGTGTTCTCTCGATCAGCCACATGCAGACAGAAGTGAGAAAGTGTCCATTTGTTTGTGACATGCATGCATTCCCATGACGCAGACAGAAGTGAGAAAGAAAGTGTCCATTTGTTTGTCACATGCATGCATCCCATGATGCAGACAGAAGAGAGAAGGTTGCAATTTGTTTGTCGCACGCAAGCATTCTGGAAGCTGCTCAGCATGGAACATGGCGGAATGCATGATTCGAGGCCTTTGGCTTTTGGGGGCGGGGCTTTTGGCTTTGCTTAGTCCGGGGCCATGTCGGGGTTCACGATGATGTGTTCCGGAACCCCTTCCGCCGTGGACCCAGTTTGGTCTCAAAAGTTGTGGTTCTATAGACTCGGGCAAACCTGCAACTTCCCAGGATGGTGAGCAGCGGCTCTTCATGGACGAGGTGGAGGTCGAGGAGAACTTCGTCCAGAGCAAAGGCTGGCTGCAGTCTTCATGCAATCCTGTGCACAAAGTCTTTGTGTGTCGGCATGCAGGGCGGAAACCGCGATGGGTGACTCCCAGCGGGAGCAAGCTCAGGTGGACGGGGCCACAGTCCCAATGGCGGGGCTGGCACATCGACAGCAAGAACCAGCAATCGTTGTGGCACCACCCAGATGTGGGCTCGGCGCAGCCTCCCCTCAAAGGCTGGAAGTACTGGAGCCACCAAGAAAACCGGTACGTTGCCAGCAAACTCCTCCTGCAGAGTGTGGTGGATGGGAGACTTGTGCCGCTTCACGAGGCTGGCAGCATGTTGTGCTTCAAGTTGGTTTCCCTAAACTCATAAAATCCCGAAGGACCCTCGCCACGAGAAGCATGCCGTGGAGGCAGGGCCTTTTCCCAGTTTGCTTTGGGCATATAAGACTTTCGTGTGCACACAGGACGAACATGAGGGCCCAGACCACGAGGCATTGGCTTGTTTTGTTGCATTCCGGTTTGTTTTGGGCATATAAGACTGTCGTGTGCATGCAGGAAGAACAGGGCCGAGAGCATCACGAGGCATTGGCTTGCTTTGTTCCATTCCGGTGCATGCTGGCTTGCCTGCGAGCACATTGGCCCTGCATGCAGCCATCATGCCGACACCTTTGCAGGAGCCACCGGCCGAGGAATCCATGGCGGGTCGGCAGGAGCTTCAGCACTTGCAAAGCTGTGGCAATGTTCATGCTGAGATTTCGAATATCTATAGCCTCCGTATATATTGGTTCTCATATATACATATATACATATATACATATATATATATATATATATACATGTATACATATTTCTGTATAAATGTAATTATAAGTAAGTGTATATGTAGATACATATATATATATAGGTATATAGGCAATACAGCCCCAAATTCGCCGCAGGTGGCGAGACAGATGCGAGCAAGTTTGTGGACTTAACGCATTTTTTTGATGCTGCTCATGGTGGTGAGTTCTCGCACACAACTGAGGAGGCATTCTGCAGACATGTCCAAGTTTCAGCATATGAAATGAAGTGAAAGGTTTCGGACAACCGAGAAAATCATCATCATGGTTTTGCATGTGACCAATCCAGCTGTGCTCTTGCACCCAGGAACTGGTCGCAGGTACGTTTACCTGTCCATGTGACAAAGAGCTTCGTTGGCGCGAGCTTTGTCACCGGACCTCGCGCCCCCTGCAAACTGAAGAAAAAACGGTAAAAAAGAAAGAAAGACAACCAGAAAAAGCACGCAAGAAAAACAAGGAGTATCCAAAGGCCAAAGCATGCAGCGAAAAAAGTTTTCAGAAAGGAAACCATGAGGAAAGCGGACATGTAAGTGCAGATTTGTCGCATGTACAGCAGAATAACACAAACAGGCCCCCTCAGGGGCACAGAAGCCTCAGGATGCACGTTTTTATCGCGACTGTTCCTGGTCATCATAGCAGCAAAAAGCCTAATCAAGTCTACGCTTCTTCCTCGTTCGCTCATTGCGGTCATTGACCTGGTGGTAATAGCATCGGCAGTGATTGTGACCTTCGTCTGCTCGAGCACAAACACGACCACAGTCCTGGTAAGAGCAAATTCCGGAGCATTGTGACGTCCGGAGAGTCACGTAGGATTTCGACAACGCGAAGCATCAACCGAATGAGGTCTTGCGGGTGAACATGACTGGAACGAAGATTATCAAGGGCATCGTCAGCTGCTGTTTGTACAACATCTTCCAAATAGTCATCGCTGGCTGGCCTCGACCCTGGTTCATAACGAAGAATACGACGGCCACTGGACGACATGATTGGTCACTGAGACACCTATAAGCTTGAGCACTGCAATGCAACACAGCAAAAGACAGTACATGGACCAACATGTTTGAACCTGCATGACAAAGCACCGCAGTAATTCTTATGTCGCATCATCCAGTCAGGTCCGAGTCATACCTACACTTTACAGTGGATGAACAATGCGACGAACATTGAGATCATCGATGAAAGCAGATCCAATACGCAGTCGGTCTTCATTGGAATGATGAATCCATTCCACCGTTGCATGGCGTACTTGAGCAAGACGCCAAAGCTGTTGAATATTGAAGAAGGTACGATCGCCAACCAATCGAATAATGGAATAAGACCATTCTTTGCATACGTACGCGAGCACCACAATGTGAGGCAAAGCTGGAGCTTCACAAGTGATCGGCGTGTATACACTGGGTCCTTGCATGAAGAACTCCCACACTTCAGCACGAAGATTCATACCCTCTGTTCTGCATTGTGTAACGAACTGCTCAAGATCATACATCGAATGGAATCCATGTCTGCGTAAAGTAACATCCAAAGTCTCAAGCGGATCTAATGGCGGAAAAGTGAAGAAGAAGATAATATGACGTCGTGTGCTGATGAAGGTCAGCACTTTATCAGTCAAAACAGTAAGTTCCCACATGGCGTCAGAGGGATTCCTACAACACACAGAAGCACTACGAGAAGGTTCGGGCTAACGTCCTGCAGTGGAAAATGGTCAAACTTTATAAATGCAAGTGCATCGAAAGCTTCAGAGCACGCAGAACGAGACACATTATTTGCTCCGTTGACCAGCATACTTCTCAAGTCCACCACACTGATTCGTGTGGCCATGTTCTCACAAAATGAACAGCCTGGGTGGTATGCGGAAAAGCAGCAACTCGAGAAATCGATGATGTAAACGGCAAATGTTGGCCGAATTGCCGTAGTTGGAAAGCGTTCAAACGAGGTGGAATCCCCGTGCGTTCCGCGAGCTCATCGCACACCTTCTTCTTCAGATCATCAATTGTAGAATCTGTTGGCATCGATAGCCAAAAACCCATCTCTCGTCCGCCAGAGCATATGTCTGGAGGTACAACAACTGGAATCCTGACCATCGGAGCTGGGGCCGGAAGGGCCGCCACACTTGCTGTCCGCTTCATCTTACAAACTGAGCCGTAAGAGACTTCGTAGCTTCATGCTAACAGGATGCACAACCAAAACTGACCGTACAAAAGGTTGCAAGCAGGCACAGGGCATCAATTTTATCGAGCACAGACAGCAA